GTCCCAGAGCAGGAGAGGAGGGAGAGGACCAGAAGGGGCAGTAACACAGGGATCTGCCAGGGCTCCTTCCCGGGAAAGAATGAGACTGCAGTACCCGTCTGCCATCTCCCCTTCAGAACCAATAGTTCCTCTGCTTTTCCTTTCCCCCTTTCATTCCTGGGCATTCAATTTTGATCTTAACAATACGAGGAAAGCAAGGGGGGAACACAACCAGTCTTTTAAGCCCTCTTGTTCTCCAAGGGATATGTTAAAAGACGGATCGTCTTAGATTTTAATCAAACTCCAAATACGGATACTCCCTCAAATCCACAAAAACATTTTCCCTAATTCCCTTCTCAACAGAAAACATTGTTTCCAATGAATTTTCCCAGTTAATATCCTGAAGCAAAGAGACAAGGCAAGTTGGTCAGGCAGGCTCAGCTGTCACTGAGAGGACCAACCCTCAGCTAAAGGGTCAATTAAGTTAGTCTTTCTATGAGGGAAAACCAAGGAAGGAAATTAATATTTGATAGCAGCTGTATGATAGCCAATCACTGTGATAAGCACCTTTATATAAATTCATATTTAATTTCAATAACAACCCTTGGAAGTAAGCACTATGACCCATGATTGACAGCTGAAACACAGGTTAAACTAGGTGGTTAATAAACCAAGCCACCCCATCAGAGAGGGGTGGAATGAGGCATGAACTCTGCTGTGCTGAATCTCAACTTCTGCTCCCTTTGCCTTCATGACCAACCTAGGTGCTCAGTTTTCTCAGTGTCTCCTTCAACTCCCGCAGAACCTCACTCACTGCAAAGAACTAGTTGCCAATCCTTTCAAGCTGAGCATATTTTCCCAAATGTGTTCTAGAGCACACTGGCGCTATGAACTGTGGGTTCATAAATTTGGAAAGCACTTGGATAAACCAATTTAAACATATTTTCACTGCAGAACTTCTAAGAGCCTTGGTTATGCACATTGTGAAATAAAAAAGCAGATATAGCAATAAGATGGAGTGGGGTATTGGGAAGGTGCAATTTGATTCTCCAAAAGGGGATACTTTGAAACAATATAATGCAGTGCTTAAGCTCCCAGTCTCTGGGACCAAACCAATTAGGTTTGAATCCCAGATCTGTCACTAGGGTCTTGGGCATGTTAGCCCCCCTATGCCTTGTAAAATGAAGATAATAATAGAACTTACCAGTTTCATAGGTATGTCAAAAAGATTAAATGAAATGATACCTAAAAAGTACCTTTAGAATAGAGCCTGTGTAACTGCCATGAAAATGTGCCTCTCAGACCTCCTGCTGCTGCAGGGAGCGAAATTGACTATCTGAATAATGACGGTTAGTTTAAATAAAAACAAGTGATTTCGACTCAGCTGCCAGAGCTCTGGATCCATCACTGTATTTGTGCTGAGACCACATTTTCTCTCTGGCAGTGCACAGTAAAGGCATCCCATTTTAGGCATTTCTTACTAAGGAGGGAAGATAGAGGAGAAAAGGGCAGAAGAATCTTCAAAATTAAATTGCATCTCTACCAACTACCCAGCTAAGCACATCTGACTGGCTCTGTCTGGCACAGTAAATAGGCCCTGCTGGTATTTGGAGACAGGAAATAACCTGTGAACCTCTCAGTGCTCTTCCTGCCTTAGGACTTTGAATTTGAATGTGCTCCGTGATAACCCAAGGTTCCCTGGTGAAGCTAGAAATAAATCCTGGGTGGGAGGGAGGCAGGATTGTAGAACCGCAGCTCTAAGTCATTCATCAGCCCATTCTCTCCTTTAATAAACAGGTATGGAGCTCTCACTATGCACGTCCTGGTTTCATTCCCAAGAGCTGAGAGATGAGGCGATGCAAGAGTCAGATGCAGAAACAACTTCAACAAAGGTCCGAAAGGCTGTAAGAGAGCAGTGAGCGCTACAGGAATGCAGAGGAGAAAGAACTTGGCTTTGCCTAACGTTGAGAAAGAGTTTTTTTTTAGGATAACAAAAAGGTAAAGGGCATCCAGGCAGAGAACACGGTGTGAAAAAAGATTGCAAGTGTGAAAGAACGAGCACAGATTACTCAGAAAGCTGATGCTTATCGTAACATCTAGAATTGGAGTTCATGATGGAAGGAGACGGTGACGACAGGCAGAGGTCACATTCCAGTGGGCTTCCTGCAGCACCCTAAGGGTTGGGCACTCGCTTAGGGGTTCCCGTGAGCTAGCTGGACATAGTGAAATAATTAGTAGGGCTCTGGAGATAACGTCAGTGAGGATGTGCGTATACTGCCATTTGGGAAACCATTGGAAAAACAATGTAAAAACCTGTTGGCAGCATCTACTAAATTTGTACATATGCATGCTCCATAACACAACAGTAATGCATGCACCTGTTTATCAAAATACAATTAAAATTTTTGATACCAAAAAGAAATTTAAAGGTGTCATACTTCCTGTGTAAGAGACAAAGAGCCAGGCGCTCCTGCTTGGAACTGAGCCCCAAACACTCAGTATAAGAGCGCTGAAAATCTCCTTTGAGTGGGTTGAGCCCAAACCAGTTGTTGTAAGGCCCTATCAGTTCATGGCATGTGTGTAATAAAGCAGGGATGGGGTACATGAGAATTTCCATGGGAACACACTGCATTAGGGCTTTGTTCCTAAAAGAAAGTAAGCTCATTCTGTTGAAAATCATCTATATAAGACTGATTCAAAACACTTAGAAATAATAGAAAGGCCCATGTTTTTGTCATAACAATAAAATAAATACTAAGAAAATATGACTTCTGAGAGAGTTGGGATTTCAGGTACCAGGGTAAACTGTAGTTAACCAAAAGAAGAGAAATATCCTTGTATCCTGTGACTGTTCTTTGTGCCCTCATTTTATTCTGTGATCAAATTTTTTAAATCCCTATTTTGAAAATCCATGAATATTTTATGAGCTGAGCCTAAATGTCCCATCATCACAGATTTCTTAAACTCTTTCTGCTCCGAAACTGATCATTAATGAATCCATTTTGTATTCTAGTGGTTGTCAAAGGCAGTTCTGAAGGTGTTACATTGAGTTATTTTTTAATGAATTTATTGGGGTGACATTGGTTAATAAAATTACGTAGGTTTCAGGTGTACAATTCTATAATACATCATCCGTGAATTGTATTGTGTTTTCACCACCCCAAGTCAGAGTTTTGACATTAATTGATGAACACTTAAACTCATCATAACTCTGCTGGGATTCAGAACAGCAGAAATTAGAAAGATGAATTTCAGGAGATGAGTCCATTGAAAAGAAATTGTACTTCAGAGTCATTACTGTTGAATGCTCAGCGTTCCGTGACATCCACACAGAATGCAATAAGGGCTCCTGGCTGCAGTCAAGCACAGGGCTCTAGTGCGGGGGGGAAAGGCTTATTCTGCTTGTGTCAAGCAAAGCTGGACTGAATCAGCAGTCCCACTCCACAGTCCTATGTCCTGGGCACACATGAGAAAGGTTTGCCTTATTCTGTTAACTGGTTAAAGATGAGTGTCTCCACAGAGTAGGGAGAAAACTATTTAGGTGGAAAAAATGAAGAGTTCTTATTTCAATTACTACCAAAGGATTTGTACAAATGGAAAATGTCAGTCTGAAGCTAGCAGACAGGAATCAGGGCCGTGGAATTCCATCAGCTTTGACAAGCAAGTATTAAATGAAATTATGGAGCTAAGAAGGAAATAGAGCAGTTTTCCTTGGAGACAATGGGTACTTGCCTAGCTGTGCTTTTTGAATAGCTCATTGGGAGCTAGATAAGTTTCTTGATATTACAGAGCTTTCTGAAGACAGGAAAAGATAATGAAATGATGATGATGAGATGTGTTAAAATCAAAAGTATTCAAAATCCATAAATGCCATCTCAATGTGGGACCAAATTTCTCCGGGCTTAAGTCCTTGAAATAAAAAAATCCAATGATTCCATTGCTGCAGTGCTTATATAACCTGAGAAAGTGAGAAAAAGGGAAATGTCAATAAAAATTTAAGTGATGTGTTAAAAAAAAAAAAAATCCAATGAGCACAATGACTTTCCTTTTGTTTGCTTTACTCTTCAAAATGCCACAAAGGAGTTTGTTTTGTTTTCATTTGTACTCTAACCTAACAGGCTTTCAACTGATTATGAGAAAGACCATGTGCCAAAAGGTATGGAAAAATATGGAGGAACTTAGAAGGTTTTATGAAGACCTTAACTCAGTGAGAGCAAGAACATAATTAGCTAAGCTTTTAGGAAATATTGAGTTTATTAAAGTAATTAATAGGTACACCTCCTCCGGCCCTCTCTATACTTTTACTTCTCATAGCCTCCGTATGAGGAAAGGATACAAATATGTCTAATTTACAAATGAGTAAGTTCAGGCTCAAAAAAGTCTATTGAATTTTTAAAGTCATAAACTGGGTTAATTTTGTACCCAGGTTTCAATCCCAGACACTTTCATCCCAGAGCCCAATATATCACTTTATCTCCAAACCCCTGGCTCAGCTGACTTATTCATGAGGGATGTACAATAAGCCTTTCCAGTTGAAGGCAGAACAGAACTGTTCTTGCTATCACTGGTGTTTCATGCCACCAACCAACTGACTGGGGCCATGTATTTGAGATGCAATAGTAAGTTCTGGAATTAATTGATATTCTCATAGATTCCAATGGTGTTACTAGTGATCATAGTAATGTAAACCATAGAATTGTCAAACAGCTTTCTTGTGAATATTGCCTTCAATCCTGCCCCTCAAAACCATTTATAAACTTGGAAGCTAACTATATAAACCATCACAATGATTATATTTTCTTGAATCTAGCATGTACCTTACATTCTTGTGAGTTTCTTACCTCTTTTAAGCATTTTTTTCTGGTAGTGAAAATAATATGAGCTAACACAGAGAATCATAGTATCAAATTAGATTCACAAGCACCAGAGATCTTATCCAGTTTTGACTCCTAATAAGTTCAAGAACTCAAGTAATTACAAGGCACAGGGAGAGTGTGAAAGAGTCCAAAATTGCCAACACCATGGCTGAGGTCCTTTTTGCTACATTAGGTCATGCTCTGGCCCAGATTAAATATTCAAGGTCTTTGTGTGATGGGTACAGGTAGCATTTATTCAAAAGGGAGCTAATTTAGTCAGGAAACATCTCTATGTACTTGGAAAAGTACATAATTTATGTGATATCTTCCCATGACTTATGCTCCAAACACCCATAGATTCCAGGTTTATTTATTATAAGCAATTCTAGACAGACCAGGTACCTCTTGCTAAAAGTGTGTCATAGATGAGTATCTCTCACTATTAAATATCACTAATCTGTTTGCCAGAAAGTCTGTCATTAGCACATTTACAAAGGGACTTGACCAAGTCATCTTTCTCTCTTTCCTGAAACTTCCCTCCATAAAGTAAGGGAATAAATGCAGGCCTGCTGCTAGCCCTTTCCTTCCCAAATACTAGTCATCTATGAAAACAGAGAAAAATGCAAGATGAAACGAGAGATCACCTGTAATTACTAAGCATCCCCAAGTCAGAAATATTTACTATGGAGAATGCTTTGCTCCTTTCTGTGCCGATAGTGCTCTCGCCAACAGGGTGAACGGTCCTAAAACCTGCCCGACTTTCTGTAAGTGTGGAGAACATCAACCCCACAGAGTAACACAGTGCAAGAAGGGCAAGCGGCATCATGGCAGGAAGCAGAGTGGCTACGGTGGGCAGACTGAGCCGATTTTCCACAAAAAGACTAAAACTACAAAGAAGATTATGCTGGGACTTGGATGCGTTGAGCCCAACTGCAGATCTCAGAGATTGCTGGCTATTAACAGATGCAAGCATTTTGAACCGGGAGGAGATAAGAAGAGAAAGGGCCAAGTGATCCAGTTCTAAGCTTCATATTTTGTTTTATTATGCTGTCTTTTAATCATTTTGCGATACAGATTACGTTTCTATGCAAATTGATTACTGAGAATCACTCTCTATACAATGCATTCAAAACACCTTGTTACTCTTGACAATACATTGAGACTATATTCCCATATTTGTAAGTAATCTTTCAAAATATTGTTTTTAGTGATTGTATACTATTATGGCATTTGGAAATGCCATTCGTATTTAATAAATAACCATTATTGTGTATTTAGATTGTTTTGTGCTGGTGGGGGTTTCCTCCAATAAATTTCCAATGTATTCTAAACTCCCAATGAGGTATTCAAATAATAGAACTGAGCTGTTTTCCAATGCTAGATGTTATTCCTTTTTTTCCCTTTTAATTTTATTACTCATATAGGAACCTACACCAGCCTAGATCTCTGAGTGGCTACCACTATTGGGGCCCTCACTTAGCTCTGCACTGGCCATATTACATGAACAAGAAGTAAACTATTGTGCGAAGTTCTTGATTTTTAGGGGCTGTTTGTTACTTCAACATAACCTAGTCTGTTTCTCCTGCCACACTGACAAATGTTTTTCCAGGTAACAGTGCTAAAGATAACCAGCGCTAAATATTAGATTAGTATGTTGTCAATAAATCTTTTTCCTATGCAGAGATGTACATTTAAGTGAATAAATGGAATAACACTTCATGTAAAATTTTGAAGCCCACTTTTCAACTACATAAAACATAAATATTTTCTCAGATAAATACTTGTTTAAAATTTCTGCTTAGTATTTTGTTAAATGCATATACCAAGTGTAATTTCTTATTCATTAATTGGGTGCCTTAAAATTATTTCCAGAGTTTCACTATTATAAATAACAGTGTGAAGATTATCCTTATACATATACCAGATAGCAATGAGAAGGACAACTGGGCACCCCCTGGTCCTGGGGTTAGCAATGGACTGCTGCTCCTTTGAAGGCCCACCACATCTTCAGATCGTATGTTCTTCTGCATTCATAGCCCTGCCCCACTCCCCTTCCCCTGTCTGTGGCTTTTTTACTTAGTCTACATGTAGGAAAAGTAGGATCTCTATCCATCTGACTAATTTCGTTCTCTCTTTGGTCTTGTTTTTAGTTTGTGCCAGAAATATTATTATGACTTGTGTTCCTCATTTCAGGCCTTATTTGTGTAAATTTTTATTGTCCCAATCTTATTCAGGTAACATACATAGCTCATGTCTAATTAGTTCTATATATTTCAACAGCAGGTGATAGACTGGCTCAGCTTAATTACAGCCATATCAAGATAATGATATAGTGGCAATAAAAAGGCTACATCTTTTTTCATATTTTGAAATTTACAATAAGCTCCTCCGTAGCTCAAAGAGGATCAAATTTTCATTGCTCAGTTCTGAGACTAAAAAGAATGTCAGAAGTCACATTTCAGTATACCATTATTTTTTTGCCCAGCTGGCTGTGTGGGCTTTCAGATTGCAATCTAATCTGTTTTATAAGCTTTTTTACCTAATTCTTGGCTTAATTCCCAGATTAGATACTGAATACAGTTTTAGCTGCTAATTTCCTTCAACAGAACATTGGAACAACAAAATAGAGGCAATGTTTCTCTTCCTAGTCTCTACTCAAGTCATAGAGATAACTGGTATAGTTTGCAGTAAAGCTAGAAATATACACTGATTATATCCCACTGTTCATAGATCTCTTAAACATCATCCAGGTAAAGTGAAAATAAAGGAATGGGCAACTGCCCTATAAGAAGAGGCAAAAAAAATTGGGAGTTGTTTTATATTTATTTTTAACATAAAAGTGTGAGGTGATATCTCATTGTGGTTTTGATTTGCATTTCCCTGAATATTAGTGATGTTGAGCTTCTTTCCATATACCTGGTGACCATTTGTATGTCTTCTTTTAGAAAAATGTCTGTTTGAGTCCTTTGTGCACTTTTTAAAAAAAATATGATTTTTATTTGTTTTAGAGAGAGAAGGGTGAGGGAGAGAGAGATAGAAAGAAACATCAACATCAATTGGCTGCTTCCTACACAGGATCCAGCTCACAGCCCAGGCATGTGCTCTGACCAGGAATGGAACCACCACAAAGCATTACTACAGCTATGACATCACTAGGCAATAAAAATTTTTCAGGTCCCTTACACTGTTTAGGACCACCGTCATATATGCAGTCCATTGTTGACTAAAATGCCATCCTGTAGCTCATGACTGTAATCTCATTAATAGCAACTGCTGTAACTTGTATAAAATGTGTAACATCATGGATGACTCTCAAAAACATTATGCTACGAAAAGAAGTCAAACACAGAAGATGGACATAATTTTACTTACATTACAATGTTTAACTCATGAAATCCTAGAAATAACAAAAGTATAGTGTATAGTGATGGAAAACAGATTAGTGACTGCCTCAGGCTTGGGGCCCTGGGAGGGGACTGACTACAAAGGGGCACAAGGGAAATTTTAGGAATGAAAAACAGGTTCTAAATGTTAATTATGCTGGTGATTTCATAGATGTATACAACTGTCCAAACTCATTAAATTGTACAATTAAAAATGAGTGAATTTATCATGTGTAAATTATGCCTCAGTAAATCAGGAGAAACTATATACATATATACACACACATATATATACACAAGCATATAAACATACAGACATATATGTATACTATATGTATATACAATTATATATAAAAAATTTTGAAATGTCTGCAAAAATAAAAAGATTCAATTTAAATTCAACTGGTGGATTCTGTCCAATTTTCCTCTAGTTTTAAAAGAGTATTTTTGTCTTTGTTTTTTTTGTCTCCTACCCCATGTGCTAAAGGACACCTGTTCAGGTTATCGTCCACATAATCTGTGTCTAAATTACTGAAAGTGAATGAGGCTTACTCTTGTCTCCCTGACTCGGGATCAAAGGGTGTCTATAGAATTGCGTTTGTGAACTCATGGACACTGGCTACATTAGCTTTAATTTGAATATAGTTTACCTGATTAAGAAAATGTAAACAAAGTTGAACAAAGGAAACGGTGCAGTTAAGGGCAGATCTGTACATATCTTTCTCTGGCGACGGTTGGTGCAGTCCTCGCTTTGCCATCTCCCAAAAGAGTAATCACACAAGTTCTGCTTTCTGCTCACCTGCCTCCTCATGTCAAATTTGGCATCTCTATTGCAAGATAATTGCTGCCTAGAATATTCAATTAGCTTTTAATTAAATACTGCTCATTATAACTGCAAGACAATAAAACATATGTCATTTGATTAGCCAAAAATTCAAATATAAATTACATTCATTTTTATGCCAACATGCACTTTACCTAATGAGACATTTGTCGTCCTGTTATAAAAAGAGTGTGTGTCATCTTATTTCCTTTTAGGGATTTTTTTTAAAATGTCTGCAAGCAAAGTTTAAATATTATATGCAACAATTTATATTCTTTTCTTTTTTTAAAAAAAATATATCTTTATTGATTTCAGAGAGAGGAAAGGAGAGGGAGAGAGAGAGATAGAAACATCAATGATGCGAGAATCATTGATCAAGCCCGCAACCCGGGCATGTGTCCTGACCTGGAATCGAACCCCGATCGCCTGGATCCTAGATCAATGCTCAACCGCTGAGCCATGCCCGGCTGGGCTATATTCTTTTATCTCTGCATTAACTATCTAGAACAGAAAGTTATATACAGTTACATACAATAAAACTTCTTCATAACAGCAGATGTTTGGATATTAGTTTAATCCCAAATTTTTTATTATGTCACTTTACATATCAAAATTTATGATGTCTTTTCATTTAACCATGTATTTTTTCTGATTGTAGCAGTAATATATATAATTATATGAGAACCCTTTGAAAATGGAGAAGGGAAACCTATTAATACATGTGTGTATTTTCTTCCAGTTCTTTTTTTCTAAAAACTTTATTCTGTTTATCTTACTGTTTTTTAAAATTAAAATTATAGCATATATGTAGCATTTAATTCTGCTTTTTTAATTTAATATTATACTGTGACCATGCACCTGTCACTAACTACCCCGAAAACAAAAGCTACATAATGTTCTATCACATAGATCAAGTATGATTTTTAGACATCAGGGTTTTTCCATCGATTGCTCACTAATATAAGTAAAAGTTAGGAAATATACTTATGCATAAATCTTGCCCACATCTCTGATCATTTCCTTAGAATTGACTTCCAGAAATGAAATTATTAGATCAGAAATATTAAAGGAATACTGTGGTCTCAGCTCCTGTGTCTTTATAGGGTATGGACAGGCCAGATGCAAACACTTTCAGGCCCCATGTAGACCCTAAATTTGATCTTGCCCCAGGAAGGAAGAGTGACCAACATGGTTGGAGAATTGGAGAGAGCTGATATCCTCTGATACAGGTATGGTTTCTGCGATGTGCACTCCATCCCTTGACATCTTGGCTCCCTTAGCTCTTCATCACCCAGGGCAGGGACCACCACCACCACAACCCAAGCAAGGAGGGACTGCTATTTAAAGCCTCAGAACCTATAAGAGTCATAAAGAGGGCGTGGGCAGTAGGAAGTCAAAGTTAGTACATCCCAAGGTCTAGGACTGGAAAGAAGAGAAAAGGCCCCAAGTTCTCCAATACATTTTACTCCACAAGCCTGGACTTTAGAACACTTTGTACTCCTTGAATTTGTCCTCATAGGGACCCCATCTACAAAAACCCAAGTGGGCAACAGGGGCAATTAGCAGGATTCAGGCAACAAACTCTTCACCAAACCTCGAACAAAAGGTTATAAAGCAAGAGCTCAGGGAATATAGAGCAATCAACCCACACTGAAACACTCCTTCTTAAAATACGTAGTAGTGATAGAAAAAGTTCTGAAAACAAGCAACAAAACAAGTAAAAACTGTTCAAAAACAGGAGATAAATGTACCAGACACTAAAAAAGAAATGGAATGTGGGAGTTGAGGTCTGTCTAGATCAAGGAGTAAACAAGGTGC